GGAAGATATGGGGCACGTCTGGGATCATGCATTTCAGAACGTTCTAAAAGTAAGTTGCACGATTCAAATGTTTTTGTGGTACATCTATGATGGTGAAATATTACAGATTAGCCCTTCGGAGTGCAAAATATTGCTTACTGATCCTCCACTTAATCCTACTAAGAATCGCGAAAAAATGGTACGTTATTTTGAACCTGGTTTCTAGCCATAACCAAAGGTTTTGATCAGGTTGAGACTATGTTTGAGAAGTACAATTTTGCAGCTGTTTATATCCAAATTCAGGCCGTTTTAACACTCTATGCCCAAGGTTCTTGGAGCAAAGACCTTACATTAATGTACTGTTGTGTTTTCTTGAATGAGCAGGATTATTAACGGGGCTCGTAGTTGACTCTGGAGACGGAGTTACACACATTGTAAGTATCCACTTCTACTTTATCTTTCTCGTTTGTCATCTCGATTGTAACTGTAACCGTGGTGCCAGGTACCTGTTGTAGATGGGTACTCGTTCCCTCACCTCACAAAACGCATGAATATTGCAGGGCGTCATGTTACCTCCTACCTTATCGATCTTCTGCTCCGTAGAGGGTAAAGCTGACTGCTTTTATACTAGTTCATTTTAGCTTGGCGTTTCTTTTTCTCCTTGCAGGTACGCTTTTAACAGGAGCGCGGACTTTGAAACAGTAAGGGAAATGAAAGAGAAGCTATGTTATGTCAGGTTTGTCAGCGTGCTAGATCACGAACTGATTTCTAACTAAAATTGTTGTCTTAAAGTTTTGACTACAAGCGAGAAACTCAATTGGCACTGGAGACAACTATTGTGGTGAAGCAATATACGGTCTGTAATTTGTAACTTTGAGTGAACTTATAAAATCTGTTTGTTTTCAGTTGCCAGATGGACGAGTCATAAAGGTAGGCGCGGAACGCTTCCAAGCACCAGAAGCGTTGTTCAATCCGGTTAGCACTGTTACTTCTGCTGGTATTCACGTTGTAACTTTAGAGAGTTTTGTCCAGGAACTGCTGGATATGGAAGGAGGAGGACTTGCCGAGCTTGTATTCAGATGCATTCAAGAAATGGACATTGACAATCGTATGACGGTAATCCTTTTTTGCTGTGTCCTTGAGATTTTTACTTGTGGTAGGACTGCAGCTTTATCAACACATTGTCCTAAGTGGAGGAAGCACAATGTATCCTGGTCTACCTAGCCGGTAAGTGTTTCTATTTAGAGCTCTTGATTTCAAATGTACAGTTTCGTCTCCTTTGGCCAGGTTAGAGAGGGAGATTCGAGATTTTTACCTCAAGACAGTTTTGAAAGGAAATAAAGAGGGTTTGAAGGTGAAGGCAGTCTTATTGTCGTTTCGTTTCTAAACTACAAATGGTTGCAGAAGTTCAAGCTTCGAATTGAAGACCCTCCCCGGCGGAAGCACATGGTTTACTTGGGTGGTGCAGTTTTAGCTGGCATCATGAAGGTACTTGAAAACATTTTACTTGCTAATTCAACAGCTCAACCGCGCAGGATACATCTGATTTCTGGATTACAAGACAAGAGTACGAAGAAGAGGGTTTTAGATGTCTTCGCAAATGTGGACAGGCATAGAGAAATCGTTGTAGGCTGACCCAGGCTTGAGTGCTCGCCCTGTCCTTCGAATCTGCGAGGGAGTCTTCCGTTTGTGTACAGCATTTTCGTATCTGTATGTAACACCTTTTTGCTTGTAATTCTGGCAGAACTAAGAGATTCGTCGGCGTTTGACACAAACGTCATGCTGATTAAACTTCACACATGGTCAAAACGTCATGCTCTTGTCTAATCTGTAAGCTACTATTTGTTTATTTTCTGAATTTACTGGAAATAATCCGCTGTTTCTCTCAGTGATGGACATGACCGCTTACGCAGGCTTGGCTTTAACTCGCGGCAACCGTACAATCATTTGCCTGATATATATTTTCGTTGGCAACCGCAGTTCATAATCATTCTCACAAAATTCAGCTGCAGATCCTTTGGAAACAACGCAACCAGGTCTTAAATCCCTTGGAAACATGGTAGAAGTCGTCCAGAGAATTCGCTTGGTCAATCGCTTGCAGCGGGGTTTTTCTACACGAGCGGTCGAGCCGAGCCGAGCAAGGAATCGTCGTCACGCAATATAGATCCTCGTAAGTTTCTCTCTTGCAATTTGTTTAAGTTGGTTTTCTCCTCGTTGATAAGGCATTCATGAGCTTGGTGAAGATGCTGCTTGATTGT